ATGTAAAAGATTGTTCGTGTAGTTATTTTGAACAATTATTTTGTTCAAATCTTTATTTATTGGCTCTTTATCGAGGTGAATGATTTCTCTCATGTATTAATTTTACTATTCATGTTTTTTGTTTTAATATTAAAAGTCAAGGTATCTAAAATATTCTGGTCGTTTATGTCAACCGAATAATTTGGATAACAATTAAAGTAGACCGGGCCTTGAGCTAGGTTACTTTGTAAGACTCTTAATAATGAATCGTCGAAATTTAATAATCTATCATCTCTTAACAAGAGACAAAGGGGCGTGTCTAACCCTAATCTGTATAAAGGTTTGACAGCTACTTGTACTAGTCCAATATGTAGAAAATTATATTTTTTCCTATATTGTTGTATATCATGCGCTGCTAATAACTTAATTGTTTCGATTTAGTTATTAATAGCGATCGTTGATTCACAAGTTTTGATATTATAACTTTTAATAAAATCAAACTTGCCTGTGTGATATATAGTGCTAAAGGATTCTCTAGGAATACTCTAATTTTGTAAATCATTTTCTATTTTGGCAATATTTGCTACTGCCGAAATATTAACATTGTTTAGAGTATTATTTCTTTCTGAATTATTCATATTAATATTGACAGGTATACCAGCTAATACAGGTTTTTAGCATACCCAAATTGTCAAGATAGGTATTTTTTAGTGATTCACAATTTTCTAAATTGTTGTTATAATAATCAATTTCTCTTATTATGAAAAATAGAGTATGCTAAACTTCACCAAGAGAAAACATTAAAAAAACAAAAGTGAAGTTTAACCAAACTAGGAGGGGCCAGAGAAGAGAAGATATCTTCCTGCAACGGGAGCATAACATGATAATGAATTCACCTTTGCATCATGATATTGAAGGAGATTTGTCAAAAGCGGAACAGCTTCCATGACAAAGTCAGCAGCATCTGAGGGGAGCTTCTTGCACATATTAGCAGCAGTTGCTAATGCTACTCTCTGTTGAAGGACGAAAGATGTTAGAAATAATTGAATATGTACTAAAGGAGCTGGAAGTTTCTTATTTCACTAAAACTGAACTCCCATCAAAATCATGATACAAGATATTCAAAGATTCCACAAAATCATGAAAGTGATTTTTCTACCTGAACACCAGTGGAAAAGAAGTCGAGATAAGAAAGCACAGCCATCAGCGCACCAGCCCTCAAGCAAGCAGTTGGGTGTTCCTGAGATATCTTCATTAGAGCTTGCAAAGACTGTCAAAGGTGAAACATTAGCACTACAGCTAGAAAGGTCAGTCCTTAGCAAATAAGCATAATGGTTCCACATAGAAACAGAGAGTTGCCCGCTTCCGGCTCCGAGTTTCCTGAGGTGGCCTCCGCCCGCTTCCGGCTCCGAGTTTCCATACAAAACCCAAAACCCCCTTCAAAACTGCGAATCACCTCGCCGATTTAATTAAATCGGCGATCAGACACTTTCCGATTCAGATATCATCGTCGTATATCAGAAACCCTAATTCACAAAATTGAAACGGTTTTTATGCAAAAGGGATAAAAAAGATGCGATCTTTATTGATTTCAACTAAAATCCCCAAATCACAATCTATTAAAAGTCCCAAATCAGTATAATCAGAACAATCGAATTCCAATGAAGTGCTTTGAGTAATCAACACGTTTGTTTTGTAGAGCGATATACGACTCTGAGTCTGAGAGGAGGAATATATAACTGAGAAAAGGCAAGATGGAGAAAGCTAAATAGAGAACCCTAATTCTATAAATATTTTTGTGTCTGTTGAATTTTTTATTTTTTCCTTCCCCCCAAAAGATCGAATAATTTGCTTTTGGTTCCTTTTGTAATTCCAATTCTTTTTATTTTTTAAGTTTTGCTCCCTTTTCTTTTTT